ACACACACACACTGCACACCTGTCACCGACACACACACACACACTGCACACCTGTCACCGACACACACACACACACACTGCACACCTGTCACCGACACACACACACACACACTGCACACCTGTCACCGACACACACTGCACACCTGTCACCGACACACACACACACACTGCACACCTGTCACCGACACACACTGCACACCTGTCACCGACACACACTGCACACCTGTCACCGACACACACACACACACTGCACACCTGTCACCGACACACACACACACACTGCACACCTGTCACCGACACACACACACACACTGCACACCTGTCACCGACACACACACACACACTGCACACCTGTCACCGACACACACACACACACTGCACACCTGTCACCGACACACACTGCACACCTGTCACCGACACACACACACACACTGCACACCTGTCACCGACACACACTGCACACCTGTCACCGACACACACTGCACACCTGTCACCGACACACACCACACACACACTGCACACCTGTCACCGACACACACCACACACACACTGCACACCTGTCACCGACACACACCACACACACACTGCACACCTGTCACCGACACACACTGCACACCTGTCACCGACACACACCACACACACACTGCACACCTGTCACCGACACACACCACACACACTGCACACCTGTCACCGACACACACACACACACACTGCACACCTGTCACCGACACACACCACACACACACTGCACACCTGTCACCGACACACACTGCACACCTGTCACCGACACACACTGCACACCTGTCACCGACACACACACACACACTGCACACCTGTCACCGACACACACTGCACACCTGTCACCGACACACACTGCACACCTGTCACCGACACACACTGCACACCTGTCACCGACACACACACACACACTGCACACCTGTCACCGACACACACACACACACTGCACACCTGTCACCGACACACACTGCACACCTGTCACCGACACACCGACACACACTGCACACCTGTCACCGACACACACTGCACACCTGTCACCGACACACACTGCACACCTGTCACCGACACACACCACACACACACTGCACACCTGTCACCGACACACACTGCACACCTGTCACCGACACACCGACACACACTGCACACCTGTCACCGACACACACACACACACACTGCACACCTGTCACCGACACACACCACACACACACTGCACACCTGTCACCGACACACACTGCACACCTGTCACCGACACACACCACACACACACTGCACACCTGTCACCGACACACACTGCACACCTGTCACCGACACACACCACACACACACTGCACACCTGTCACCGACACACACCACACACACACTGCACACCTGTCACCGACACACACACACACACTGCACACCTGTCACCGACACACACACACACACACACTGCACACCTGTCACCGACACACACACACACACTGCACACCTGTCACCGACACACACACACACACTGCACACCTGTCACCGACACACACTGCACACCTGTCACCGACACACACACACACACACACACTGCACACCTGTCACCGACACACACTGCACACCTGTCACCGACACACACCACACACACACTGCACACCTGTCACCGACACACACACACACACACACACACTGCACACCTGTCACCGACACACACCACACACACTGCACACCTGTCACCGACACACACACACACACACACACTGCACACCTGTCACCGACACACACCACACACACACTGCACACCTGTCACCGACACACACTGCACACCTGTCACCGACACACACCACACACACACTGCACACCTGTCACCGACACACACACACACTGCACACCTGTCACCGACACACACACACACACTGCACACCTGTCACCGACACACACACACACACACACTGCACACCTGTCACCGACACACACTGCACACCTGTCACCGACACACACACACACACACTGCACACCTGTCACCGACACACACACACACACTGCACACCTGTCACCGACACACACACACACACTGCACACCTGTCACCGACACACACACACACACTGCACACCTGTCACCGACACACACACACACACTGCACACCTGTCACCGACACACACACACACACTGCACACCTGTCACCGACACACACTGCACACCTGTCACCGACACACACACACACACACTGCACACCTGTCACCGACACACACACACACACTGCACACCTGTCACCGACACACACTGCACACCTGTCACCGACACACACCACACACACACTGCACACCTGTCACCGACACACACACTGCACACCTGTCACCGACACACACACTGCACACCTGTCACCGACACACACACTGCACACCTGTCACCGACACACACACTGCACACCTGTCACCGACACACACTGCACACCTGTCACCGACACACACACACACACACTGCACACCTGTCACCGACACACACTGCACACCTGTC